GAGAGAGAGAGAGAGAGAGAGAGAGAGAGAGAGAGAGAGAGAGAGAGAGAGAGAGAGAATCCTCCCTTTACAGTTACTCCTCACTCACTGGCCAGTGGGAGAGTTAAATGTCTACCTGGCTTTGACAGTACACACATTCATTCTGATCTGAATTCTCTCAGTCTCTGTCTCTCTGTGTCTCTGGTCTCTCTGTCTCTGTTTCTCTCTTGCTCTCTCCCCCCCTCCGCTCTCTGTTGTATGGTAAAAGAAGCCTGAAATGTTGAGAAAATTATTCAGATAAAATTTTCTTCCAAATAATCCAGTCCCCAGCAGACTAAAATCTCTTCTGGTGGTTGATCTTGAAAAAATATTTTAATAAATATTCAAATCACTTTAAGTGTCTGGGTCCTTATAAACTTACTAGCAGAGTTCTGCATCTAAATCTAATTATCTTCCTCAGAATAAGTAAGCATAGAACTAAATTATTCAGTCTGAACAGAACTGGACTTTTGATGCATTTTTCTTTGAGGAAAATATCAAAGCCTTAAAATTTTGTCCTCTTTGCTAACATTCCCAGAAGATGGTCTTTAATGACATTTTCCCCACCTTTGCCAGAGAAAAACAGAAAAAAGATGTGCATAAAGTTTTTCTCTAGTTGCTTGATGGCCTTAGAATACAGTTTAGATGAAGTTTTCAAGGATTTAGGGGATGGTCTTGGAACATAGCTTGCTAGGGAAAGATCACCACCAAGGCTCATCCTCCTGAGCATCATTAGAGAAGCAATCTATGAGAGAAGCCTCCCTCACTGGCCAGGGGAACAGCTAAGTGTCTATCCAGCTCTGGCTGCACACGGCTGCATTCTCATCTGAATTCTACTGTTCTTTGATTTCATCAAAAGACATATTTGCATATGGGCTGATAAGGCACCTTGGCACCAGGACCGTGGAATTTGTACAGGCACAGATCTGGCACAGGCCTGCTGAAAACTCAATTATGATTTATGTCTATGCAACAGAATTTCCTATTGATTACTTGCCAGGACCGTGATAAAGCAATGTTAGGCTCAAAGCCAATCCTTCCCTGCCATAATCTTTCCTCAGATTTTATACTCTGTGCCCTTCCTTGAGTTTTTTGAACATTTGTGAACAACAATGGTTCAGGAAAAAAAATGAACCTTAGATATGCAAATTTGTGTACAACAAAAGACCCTATTCTTAGTGTTCAAAGTTGAGTTTGTAGCTAGCTTTCAATTATTTGGGATTTATCCAACACCTGCTCACGTGTACCACACTGCTTTAAATTTTGTAAAATGTGGGAGAAATGGAACCCACCGCTCACGCTTTGAAGTATTTGCTCACGGCAGCCTGAGAAAACAGGCTATCTTGAGGTGAAGATGCCGGGAATGAAGTAATCTCCTAACGTGGTTATGCTGACCCTGCTGGGTGAAGGGGGGCGGTGGTCAGAGCGAGTTGAAAGTACCCTGCAAGTCTGCTTAGTTATGAGTCTCAAGGGTATTAGAAACAAAATAATCATAATAGGCTTGAAAGAATATGAAATAAGAGCCATTAAGGGATTAAGGAAGAATTCCTGTTTTCTGACCAGCAATATCCTGTTGAGAAAGGGAACATGATTTTTTTTCACTGTTACAAATGAAATCTTTACTTAAAATATAGCACTTGCCCTGGTATAAGTATTTACATATCTGAATCATTTAAATCCCACAACACTCCTGTGAAGCAAATGCCATTATAATCTTCATTTTACAGATGAGTTAACCGAAGATTAGAGAGATGATAAAAGATTTGTTGAGTATTCTACACCTTGTAGGGAGTAGTGTTGGGATTTGAACTGGCTCCATGATTTAGCACATAGGTTCTGGTCCCGTAATCTGGCTTGAGATAGTGGTCCTTGCTCCAGGATCCACCTCCTGGGCAGTGGTCCTAGTATCATAACCCAACTGTCAGGTTCATGGTTTTCAATCTGGGGTGGCAACACTTTGGGGGGTGGAACAATCCTTTCACAGAGGTAGCCTAAGACCATTGGTAAACACAGATATTTCCCTTATGATCCATAACCATAGTTAAAAAAGAAAAAAATGAAAGTAAAACTACAGTGATGAAGAAGCAATGAGGATAATTTTATGGTTGAAGGTCACCATAACATGAGGATCTGTATTAAAGGGTCGCAGCATTAGGAAGGTCGAGAACCACTGTGTTACATAGTTTTGCTGGCCCTATGATCTAGGACCTAGGTAGTGGTGATGCCCCCATGATCCAGCTTATATGGAGCTAGAGTTTGTAACCAGACCTCATTGATTCAGGCTCTGTGCTATCAATCACAGCCCCACAGGGCCTCCTTTCTGTAGAGAAGAGACAGATGCTTACCGGAATGACAAAGTTGGCCTTTGTTGGGGTGAGAAGCATAGGGTCATTGCTCTTGTTCTTTAGCTTAGGGGCACTTGATCTTGGGTAGGTGAAGAGTCTACAGCTTTAGCAGCCTGAAGAATCTTACTCAGCCTTGCTGAATAAGCCAGAGAACATTGTGTTATGGTTTGAACTGCGCCCTCAAAAACAGACACATTGAAGTCCTACACTCTACATCTCAGATGACCTCATTTGTAAATAGAATCTCCATAGAGACGATCAAGTTGCCCTAGAGAATTCATGCAGGTTGAGAGTGGTTTTCAAGTGGGTGTGGTGGTCTCATCAGCCAATGACTAAGTTCCTCAGAGGTTACCTCTTCTTCTTCTTTCTATTCCATAAAGAATAGAAAAACTTAAACATCTTCAGTGAGGTTAATGAGGTAACACATGAAATAAAACAAACAAACAAACAACATTTTACAGGACCACTTGGAAACATATACAATTAAAAAATTAAGAAATATGATATTATTTCAAAAAAAGCTACCCTTATATAGAGATGTCAAAGTCTGAATGAGGCTGCTGGATCAGACAGTGGGAGTTTACATTCTTTGAACATCCAAACCCATTCAAAGACACCCTCTACTCACCACGTTCTTACTACTTACATTTTAATAATTTTATTTTTTGTTTTACCCATTGACAGCATCATCTATTTATATTTCAGTCATTTTCTAACCCCATTTCCCTCTCTCATCCCCCTCCCTCTCCTGTGGAAACCCTTCTTCCCAACTCGATTTCCCATTCTCATTGATACTCCAGTCAGAACTCCACCCCACTGGATGAACAATATAAATTATTCTACATTCTAAAAGGAAAAAAACAAACACCTATTCCATGCTGCAGCCTTTCTTTATTGAGCAATGACCCTAAAATCAATCTCTGGTGGTCAAGTCATAGTCTTCGTTTCATAGGTCAACACTGTATATGAAAAACGAGAGCCCTTTGTCCCCAAGCCCAGCTTGCTTATATCCTCTGTGGTCGTTTAGGAAAACCTGGGTAAAACATCACATTGCTGCTGCATTTATGGGCAGTCCCCTCATCTTTGGCCCTGTGTTCAAAGTTGGGCTGATTTAAAAGAGTGAGCTCAAGTTAGCTGGAGCCCTAGGTGCAGATATTTATACAGAAGTAACCCTGTTGTGATTTTGCTTGGACCAGAGCCAACTGAAACAGTCCTTTGCCACGGCAGTCTATTGCCACTGGGGTTACAAAGGATTGTGTGTAACTTTCTGTTTTCTAAAACTTGGCTCTTAATGATCTCGTTGAGCTGACTTCAACCCTTCCTTCTGCTGGCACCGAGAAGAAGAATAACAAAACCATTCTTCCTAACATGAATATTATGGGCGCTATTTTTCAGATAAGGCGTGGCTTTAAAAGGTCTCTGACCCGCTGGCCAATTATTGTCCAAAGAAAGAAAGAAAGAAAGAAAGTCACTGATAAGTCTTGTATCCTTTTTGTCTTTATTCTTTCTGTTTCCTAACAAGTTATTGTTTGTCATAGATGGTCTCATATTTAGTTGGCTGATAAATAACAAACAACCTCATAAACTTCCTGCTGTTTCCTTGATGTGAATGTTACAATGTTTCAAAAACAATTATTTTGTGTTTACATATGTGCACGTGTGTGTTCTATACATTGCTGTGTGCTTGGTTTTGTGTGTGTGTGTGTGTGTGTGTGTGTGTGTGTGTGTGTGTGTGTAAGTCAAAAGTCAACTTTGGGTGGCATTTGGAGATTTCTACTTTATTTTTTGAGACAGGATCTTGTCTAGGATATGAGGCTTCACATCTGTGGGTTACTATGGCAAGCAAGCACCAGGATCTTTCTGTCTCTATTTCCCTAAAGCTGCAGGTGGGCACATCGTGCCTGGATTTCTGCATGGGAACCCATGATTAAACTCAGATTCTCATGCTCGCACAGAAAACACTTTATTGATGGATCTTCTCCTGCCTTTGGAATTTTCTCTTGAAATACATACTAGAACTATCCTGCCCAAACCTAAAGATGCCAGTGCTCTGTTGATGTTTTATTTTGGCCAGCACAGGTAACTTCTTGCCTTTGTTGGTGAAGGCTAGTCCTATTTTGCCATACTAAAAATTGGGGTACAGTTTGGGCCTTGACTATGTATGTTTAAAATAATTATTTTTCCTTTTAAAAATGTGCCTATTTCTTAAGAGAAAGGTCAAGAAAGGATGTAGATTTGGGTGAGTGGGGAGGTGGAGAGGATCTGAGAGGAGCTGGTGGGGGGCACCATCATCAGAATATAGCATTTGGAAAAAAAATCTATTATCAATTAACAAAAATCCATCCTAATACTTCTTGCCAGTGTTTTCTCTATTCAAGTAAGGTACGGTGGTGGCTCAGCTGTCCGTTAGATATGCACTTTAAAAAATTTTTTTTTCGAGACAGGGTTTCTTTGAGTCGCTTTGTGCCTTTCCTGGAACTCACTTTGTAGACCAGGCTGGCCCCGAACTCACAGAGATCCGCCTGTCTCTGCATCCTGAGTGCTGGGATTAAAGGCGTGCACCACCACCGCCTGGCAAGATGTACTTTTCTGTACTTACTAGCTTTTGCAGAATATCTTGTCTTCTAGCCAATCTCTGGGGTCTGCCTAGGCATTGAACGGTGAGCTCAATGGCACAGCACACAGTTGTCTTTTGTGCACTTGTCACATTGACCCACAAGCTTGTCATTACACAATGTTAATTAAAAGCTAGCTGAAACAATATTTGAGATTTTTTTTTAAATTTTCTTTTGTTATTCTAAATGGTGTGTCTGAGCACAGGTGATCAGAGGTGGCTGGAACAGGTGTTGCTGCTCTGGTGGCCATTTCTGCGATCTCCCTTTCCTATTCCAACGGGCGTCTTCTCCTGACTGGTGCTTGTGAATGTGCCCTTAGCAGGTATCAGTAGTCAACTTAATAAGCTTCCCACTGATCTCACATGAAGAATAAAGGAACTATGGTGACTGTTTATCACATCACCCATTTATGGGAATCCTGGACAATGTCCCCATATAGTTGGACTTACCAGGAATAATTAGACTTCCCCAGGAACTATAAATTGTTAGTGTTTCATGGGAACAGAGTTATGTGACTGATAAGACTTTGCTTCTCACGTTGGCGGCCAGATCATGTAGGGCTAGTTTTATGGCCCACCTGTGTGTATATGTGGGGCACTGTGTATGTATGCATCATTAGACTCACACTTGTGTGCATCTCATCTCCAGTCTTGTTTACTATTTCCTCCTGTTCTATTTTTAACGGATGCTATTGTATTATCTTCCATGTGTCTTACTATAAACTGCATCACATCTTTCCAGGAACAGACAAAAGTATCAAAATAAGCATGTATACCTAAATTAATCAACTTCTTTCTTTCTTTCTTTCTTTCTTTCTTTCTTTCTTTCTTTCTTTCTTTCTTTCTTTCTTTCTTTCTTTCTTTCTTTCTTTCTTTC